CAAAATTGAATCAGAATCCGAAACTTGATCGGATAGTCACAATACTATATAATTAAAAATTATCCTCATAATGCTATATAACAGTATAATGAATATAATGATGATATATTTATAATGAATATGATGATATATTTATAATGAATATAATTATGATATATTTATAATGAATATAATGATGATATATTTATAATGATGAACAATGATTTTTTTTTTTATAAACGGTAACAATTTTTAATAAATTAATAAATAAATGAATAAATGACTAAAGAGTATTTTCTTTTTCTAAAAGAAAAAACAAAAAAGTAGATTCATTGTACAAAACAGATCACATTATCAATAATTTTACGTATTGCATATAATATAATGATCAACCCACTGTAAACAGTTCTGATGGATATTTTTAAGATTTATTCATGACTTATTCTTGACTGTAATTTATAAGTTTCAATGATCATTGCAGCATATATGAGAACTCTTAATTAAACATGCGAAGACATGCTAATGAAATAACGAGTTAACGAGATAATAAACTAAGAAACAATTCAAAATACGGATTGTTTAAAAGGGAATCACAAATACGGATTGGCTTAAAAGGTTTGTTAAATTGGGATCTTTAGTTTTTTAATTATCGTTAAAAATTCATAAGTACATGGTTAACTTTATTCATAATTTTTAATACAGTTAAATGTAAAATATAGATTATACAGAACGAATAAAGGATTATACACTATATGCTATTCCAAGAGCTAAAAAGGCCAAAGTAGAATGGTTTGAAGAGGTGGTTTTTTTTAAAGTTAAGGTTAAAGTTTCATGTGGAGAATAGTGTGGGGTACACTTTTATACTGTTGTGGAGTGGAGATCTACTCCAAATAATGTTACAAAAATAATAATTATTATAATAAATTATCATTATAATTGTTATTATAATCATTATAATTATTATACATAATTCATAGTCATAAAAAAGAACCGCGCAATTTATCAAATAGACGTTTAATTTAAGAATGAGCCAATAAAATGCAAGCAAAAAACCATAATCAGACTGAATATTACAGTGCTTCTTGCACATTTAAGACAAAAGCGAATAAGTACATTTAGATAGTTTATTAGAATAATAAAATTGAATCATAGTGCATTGAAAAATTGAATCGTAGTGCATTAAACAATTACATTGAATATAAACATATTGTATTGATATTTGAATACGTACATTGAATTCATAGTGCATTGAATAGTGCATTGAATACAAATAAAATAAATATATACATCGAATAAACACACTAAATATTAAATATTGAATAGTACATTAATATTAAATATTAAATATTGAATATTGAATAGTACATTAAATATTAAATATTTAATAGTACATTAAATACATAGTACAAACCAAATTGACAATTAATAATACATTGAATAATAAATAAATCGATTTATATATTGAATTATATATTGAATTATATATTGAATTATATATTGAATTATATATTGAATTATATATTGAATTATATATTGAATTATATTTTGAATTATATATTGAATTATATATTGAATTATATTTTGAATTATATTTTGAATTGTATATTAAACAACATAAATGCTAGGCAAACAAGACAAAGAAGCGCGGCGTTTAAGTGAATTTCCTATACTCCACTTTGAAACTGTTAAACTGTAGCATAAATAATGTTTAATTAGATAATAGTTCCATACTTGGAATTTTAGTGAATGATTACCAAAAAAAAAGAAATCTTTTGATTTATCTAGCATAAATTGCAGACAAGGTTGCCCATTATATGAAAAATAATTGGTGTTACGATATCTTTAAATAGATTATTGTCATATGAAGAAACTGTGAATATTCTTACTACAGTATAACTATTAATTATTTCATTCATTCATTTCATTCACTTCATTGCTAGCAAGGGTATGCTTGAACTGTATGTTAAAACCATTAGATTATAAGGATATCGTTACGAATGATGTTAATTATCTGTTTGTATATTAGATGCACTTCGACCGAAATTCGTTATTTATCAAGATATGTACATACTGTACCAAAGTAATGCACTAGAATATGTACAAGGATTTGTACAAGGATATGTACAAGGATGTGCACAAGAATGTGTACAAGGATATGTACGAGGATGTGTACGAGGACATGTATGAGGATATATGTACGTACGAGGATATGTGTGAGGATATGTACTAGAGTATGTACCAGTGTATGTACGAGGATATGTACCAGAGTATGTACCAGCGTATGTACCAGGGTGTATGCACCAGGGTATGTACCAAGGTATGTACCAGGATACGTGTTGATGTGCTCCAAGAAAAGGAGAAAAGAATTTTAATCAAGAATGGTTAAATGGCGCGTATAATAAAGATGCGGAAGAATTTCCGGTACCCTGAGGGTACCTAGAGCTAACAAACATCATATATTTACTATATATATACAAAGAAAGACTAAAAGTAAAAAAATTTAACCGAAAACAGAAAGTCTAATTGTGGCGTACTTAATTGACGAAAGTTTACTGTAACACTTTAATATTTCAATTATTATGTCATGTGAATGTGGAAAAAACATTCATTTATTTGTATTGTTTCTTTTTGCGAATCAGGTTTAGGGTGTGTGGGCGTTGGTGGTCAATATACGTTTTTTTTACTGGCTATTTTTTTGGTCTTTCAGCCCATTCGTCCGTGAAAATGAATTGCGCCTAAATATAAAAAAATAAAAAAAATAAAGCATAATGAAATATAATGTAATATAATGTAATATAATGTACTGTACACAACATGTTATTCCGACTATTAATTTCATTATTTTTAATTAATTTCATGTTTTACTCGCAATATATGCTATCACAATTTTTATCTTGTGGTCTTTTACTGCGTCGTTTTTAATACTCTAGGTGCATAGCTTGGTCTGCGTTTTTGTTTATCTGTCGAACGATCTGTTGTTAGAACAACACGCATCCTGAATATGTATAATTATAATTGTGCGAAAAGCTGAGAGGTGCCACAACATATAAAGGGAAAATGTATCTGTTTTTTTTTTTATATATTTTTAATTCATATTATAATATTAATAAACTATGCTCTACTTCTACATCATTTATGCTACATTACTGTAATGCTAAAAATCACACCTCCTTGATGGTGTTATAAAACTCGTCAAACGGTATGCGACCACACTATGTGCACAAAAAATGCTTTGCAACGTTTGCACATCATCTCTCGTGTCACCCTTTTTTCTTAAGGTCTCCGTGCGACAAAAGTATTACTTGAAAAAAACCGATACTATCTGACCTATTTTGTCCTAGAAAAAAAACCTTCATATTAAATTTATTTAAATTATTCGGTTCTGTGCTTCACATGAATAAATTAAAGTTATTTTAATCGTTAAGCATCTACTGTTCATCTGTTAATCTAATAGTATTTAAAGCACCTGCATATATATATACACACAAACATATATATACATATATATATATACATTTATATTTATACACACATATATTACATATTTGATATATAAATATACACATATATATATATATGTATTTTTTTTGCTTTTTTTTTTTTTTTTTTTTTTATTGATTAATTTAAAATTTGTACTTGATGTTTTTTTTTTTGATTTTCATTTATATACTGTAATTTTTTACGATATACACATATATTATATATTTTTTATTCTTTTTACTGTTAATTTAGTATATAGCAAGCCCCTAAGCTTCTGCTTTTTTTTTTAACCCCCAGATTTTTTTTCTCTCATCATTAGAAAATCATTCGGTTTCCAAAAAAAAATTTTTTTTAAAAAATCATTTATATAATATTCTTTTCACACGAGACTTTTTTTTTTTATCAAACAAACTGTGAACTTTAATGGGTCCAGAAAAATAAATAAATAAAAAAAAAAACCCCCTTTTTGTCATTTAGCTGAAATCTTACAAGTTGGTTTTTTTTTTCAGGTTTTATGTTAAATATATATACTCATAAAGTGCACCTTTTTTCTAAAATTCATACCTTGATATTTTTTTACTAGTAGAATTGGGAATTTAGAATTCGTAAGACCATAGGCCGAAATTTTTTTTTTTTTTTTACGAACGGGTAAAATATTTACGAAAAATAAAAACCCATTGACGAAATGATAGCAACGTACAATCAGCCTACTTCTTTTGCACATCAACGTCAAAGTTCCGAAACTTTTGAAGATATCAAGAGTAATAACTCTACAAATCTTCATGGCACTTTTAGCATTGTAAAAAATTGTGACAGTCCATATAACAACTGTGCTATTCAAGCAAGTTTGAGCGAACAACCTCCACAACAACACGTTCAATCTTCCACTGGTTCACGGCAACAAACTTTTGGCTCCTCATCGACAAAACAATTTAATAATAATACTCGAACTTCTTCATTATCAACGTCTAATACGACAACAAATCGCAACAACTTTACCGATAATCAAATCTTTACAACGGCCTCAACAACGGAGCATCATCAGTTCTCTCTTGCAAATTCTCGTAGTGGCAACGGTAATAACCATCCCAATTCCAACAATGGCAGAATTATAAATATGGGTCATAACGTTGGTGGCATGAATGTAAAAGAAATTAATGATTGGACTAAAAATGCTGTAAAAGATTCATCGAAATTAAAATTTGGTCATATTCTTTTTGAACAAGTTGCCTTTCCTCCAAAAAAGTCTCGTTGTGCTGATATTAATGAAGACAATGATGATGATTCGAAAAAAGATCTTTTGGGGGCTTCAATTTGGCGCCTTTATACAAAAGCGAAAGATGCATTACCCAACGGAATACGTGTCGAAAATATTACTTGGAGAATGATGTATTTAGCTTTAAACAAAAAAAATGCTGAACAAACTTTAATTAAACATGAATCGTTTGATGACTCTCATGTATCTATGTCTGATGATGTCTTTTCAAGTAATATGATTAGACAATCCAAAAATTCCGTTGCCACTTCTAAAAAATCTATCGTTAATAATATTTCTGTCCAAGAAAAGTATGTTCTAAATCATTTTAATTATTCTAAAATTATTCTAATTATTCTTAATTACTCTTAATTACTCCTTAAAAAATTTTTTTTTTAAATTTCTATCTTTTAAATTTTTGTCTTTTTAAATTTTTACCTTTAAACTTATCATCTGATTGAATTATTTTAAAATTTGTTGTATATGTATATTAATTAAAATTTTACAATTATCGAATTATCGTTATAGGAACAGAAATTGCTTGAAAGATGCTGATAATAATGTTGAAAC